TGTGCCAAAAGAAAATGGTACTTGAGGCAACCTGCAGGGTCCGTTTGTAACTTCAGGCATCGAGCACGGTTAATGGTTGCAGTAATTGTTGTATTTTCAATCGCATACAATTTCGTTCGTTTTTGGGAATTTCGAATTGATGAAAGTGACAGCATTCGCTCATTCGAGGACTCGATAGTGCCGCAGCTTCGAGCCAATCCCTTGTTCATGTTGCTTTACCAAAATATTGCTACGCTGGTGACGCAGTTTTTTATACCGCTTATTGTGCTCTGTTACCTCAATCTTCAGGTTAGTCTGGCAATACTTGCAACTGCCAAATTTTTTATTATTTCGGTGCTGAGCTAGCTAACGATTAAATCTTAGTGTGCCTTGATAGCAGGCTTTCATATAGCTATGTTTTATTAGAGATCAGAAACCATCGCGGCATTTGCCGTTGCAGTAGTAATGCGATTAATTCAAAATCACTTTGCACTGAAGGATGTTTGATAGTTTTTCACTATCGCAGTCTTTAAAGTTCACCTAGCGAGCGTAATTTTACACTTTTTCATCATACGAGTAGCTTTAATTCGACCCTGTCCTCACTAAGAAAAAAAAAAAAAGCTTAGCAAATAAAAACGACGGAAAACAAAACTCGATAATATTGGAAATTGAAGAAAAGCTAGAAAGTGAGGCAGTTTGCTAATGAGCTGCCAGTTCATTCGGTATGGAAGCAGCAAAGCTGTTCAGCGCCGCACCGCTCTGAATTCTGGACTTTGCATCCCTGAGAAAAAGCACACGTTGTGGAGAGAGAATTGCTTTCTTACTTCTCCAGGTCGCTTTACCCAACAATTAATTATGTTTTTAGTTCGTTGTCCTCAGGTATCCGGTGCCGCAAGTCTAAACAATTTTACTGCTTGCAAATATTGCTAGAACTCTTCGAGGTTTGCAGACAGCGTGAATACCACTAAGCGTTGACTATCGGGTCAGCGAATGTAGTCCGTCGTAATTTAATGATTACCAACCGCAGGTCCACTCATTGGATCGGCCGTTACCGCAGACATGGGTATTATAACCTTTAACGTATATAAGCAATACGCGCAATACGAACAAATATGTATCGAACACAAGCGGAAATAACACACACCAAAAATATTACAAGGAAAGGAAGTAATCCAACTTCGTTGTTCGTCGTTGTTGTCGATCTGTCGTCGCAATCCGCCGCTCGTCGTCATCGAAAATTGTCGAAATGACAAACAAGGAGGAATTCCGATACGCGTTGTGAAATACCTGGGTGTTATTGATTCGGCGGCCTCCATTTTTGAAGCAAAGGGCAGAAGGAGGACAAAGCCGCGAGGAAGCATCTCTGCTCCAAAAATATATAAACATCCAGCTGTCACTCAAAAACGAGGGAACTGGGAAAATTACGAATTGTATACAATTTGTAGCAAATCGAGATTTAGCAATTTTGACGGCACATGTGACTGACGAGGCTAAACGCTGTTATTATAACAACGATATGAAACAATAATGACGAAGCTGTAAAATATATAGTACAGGTAGCGCAAACAATTCTGGAAGCAACAGAGCAAAGGAAACAACTGGTGGCATCCGAGAAACGTGAATACAGTATTGCTAAAATGATGATTTTTGTCGTTATTGGTAAGTCAAGTTCGCTGAAAGTATCTTGACGCTGTATGTTAGTTACAGTAGTTCGTCCGCATACCTTTGTTCTTCATCTACCAGCTACTACAAAAATGAAAGAGGAATTAAAGCTGTTTTTTTAAGAAGGCAACTCGTTTGCTGCTCAATAGCTTATTCAACAGCAATATGGCCATTATCTAACTCTGTATTAAGCAGAATCCGAATCAAGCTTGTTTTTTTAAGCGATACTTAGTAGTAAGAACATTGTGAATTATCGGGGCCGACTCCTCGCTGTAAAACACATATTCCGTACGCAGGATATTTTTTGTAGTTGAGCAAATGCAAAGCCACTTATAGACGTAACATGAAAACAGATTCTTTTTGTATGTGTGTTCGTGTTTGTGTGTGTGTATTCGAAAGCGTTTTTCCCAAGTTTTCAACTGTGAATCCATAAAAGCTAGGAAGCTGAAACTTTAGGAGAATGTTCCCTGCTCATCTGTGACTCCGCAAACATAAACTTTCACGTAGCTTAGATCTCACATATGGACACGTGGAAGTTTTTCTTGCCAAATTAAAAACTCGGGAACACAAAAGCTATGAAGCTCAAATTTTAGGAAAAACTTCTAGTTTCCTGACGGTTCCTTAGCTGAAGTCTCGAAACAAAACGCACTCGGACACACACACAAAAAACCTCATACACAGACGCACACAGGCAGGAGCGTACAATATGCATTTTGTGCAGCTGTTACACAGCACAAAACACATAAAAACCCAAAGCAAACCTGCGTCAGAATCAGTCACTTTTTTGTGCCCTGACTTGCGACCCCAAAACTAAGTACATGTTAATTTTTTAGCAAGAAATTAAGAAAAATAAAGTTGGAAAATTCAAAAAAAAATAGCTTAAATTCATACCACATTTCACAACCTGCAACTTTAAATCTAAATTCACGACAATTTTGTGACTTGGGAACAACAAGAAATTTTGCAACATTAATTCCTCGGATGATCCTGAGCTAACAAACCGAAACCAAGTCCTAAGCTCTTCACTCAATTCTAAATTCAAGTTCATTTTCAAATTCTGCCATTGGGTGAGCTAGAAAATCAGAAGTTAGGAACTTGAATTGACCACATTAAAAAAGTAATCTGTAAACTTCGACTGTTTTTCGACGCATGATTCCACGTCTAAGTACGGAGTAATACTGCAACTCCAAAACAG